GAGCTTCGTTAGCTTTAGTGGTCTCCCAGTTTCCTTCATTAGCTACTCAAATTGGAAATGTGCGATTTACTTACAGGGTTTCGTGTTTGTGGTCAAAAGATTGTTCCTGTAATTTCACTTTTGTTTGGTATTGGAGTTTCTTTTGCTTCGTGGGCTTCGAACTCCTTTTGACTGTAACTCGTCAACTCATACAATTTCTTCATTTTTTATGCAGATATTGCTACTGCACGGTCTTGTCTTGGGAATACTCCATATATATTTAGGTCTCCAAATATTCTACACCATGAATTTGTATACAGAAATCAGAAGGGATTATTGGCTTTTCCATGGAAATTTGTCTGTGTCCCTGAAAAAGTTATCAACTATAACCTGGGGAGGCTTCATGTGTGTAGGGGTCGACTTGTGATTAAGGCAGTTGCTACTCTTGAACCAACAAGATTGGCCAAGAGAAAAGATGAATTTAGTTTGAGGGTTGATGTTGATTCAGGAAGTTCCGCTGTACCTCATGGGATTGAGCAGCAATCCTCAAGTGACCACTCAACTGAACCTAATGACAGAGAAAAGTTGAGAAGGATGAGGATTTCGAAAGCTAACAAAGGGAATACCCCCTGGAACAAAGGAAGGAAGCACAGTCCTGGTGATTCTTTTTCAGCTGGTTTTTTTGATGTACAACAAGTGTTTATTTCTTTTTAAGCTGCTGATTTGTCTAAAACAATCTGGTGAATCCCTTGCAGAAACCTTACAGAGGATTAGAGAGAGAACCAGGCTTGCAATGCAGGATCCTAAGGTGATGTCATGTAAGAATTATCTGATGTAGAAGTTCTGCCATGTTGTAGAAATTATGAGGAGGATGTAATTATAAACTGCTATTTGATTAGTGTTTGGAAATTGCAGACATTATAATCTTTTTCACAATTCCTGTCTGATCATTAGGTTGAATTTGGTAAATGGTATCAATTTCACGTACTGACTTGGTTTTACTCTGAACCAGAAATGCATAGCTTTTATTGGAATTCAAGTTGTAGTGAACATTACTGCTGTTGCTCAATCACCATTAGTGCTCTAGGACACAATAGGCAGACTTTACCCTGAATATCTCAATAGTCTAAATAATATGTCTGACTTATTTTTCAATTATATGTCTAAGTTTAAATGATGTTGTATGGTTATCGAGTTCATATTAAATAACAGAAAGCCAGCTGATTTTCAGCACTAAATATGAGCTAATTCTTGGCATTACTGATTATTTAGTGTGGTTTTGTTAACAATTTCTGCTGATACAGGTCAAGATGAAGTTAATTAACTTGGGCCATGCTCAAAGGTCAGTTTCTGTAGCTGGCTTGTACTGCTACTGTGACCTTGTATTGCAATGGTAGTTGCAAGATATTTTAAGTCTGCAGACCGTATTGAATTACCTTTCTGAATCTTCCTTAAATGATTGTGTAGTGAAGAAACAAGGGTAAAAATTGGAGTTGGTGTGCGAATTGGGTGGGAAAAACGTCGCAATAAGTTAATGTTGCAAGAGACCTGCCTCTATGAGTGGCAAAATCTACTTGCAGAAGCTTCAAGAAGGGGTGTTCTTGGTGAGGCAGAGTTACAGTGGAACTCATATAAGATTCTGGATAAAAAGCTTGAGCAAGAGTGGGTGCAAAGCATTGAAGAAAGAAAAAGAACACCAAAACCAAAGGGTAGCAAGAGAGCACCTAAGTCTCTCGAACAAAGGAGCAAGATCTCCGAGTCCATTTCAGCCAAATGGGCTGACCCTGTAAGAGCTTGTCCAGAAGAACTTTTTTATTTTTTTATTTTTTTATTTTGTGATTGAAAACTTCCCTTGACTCAATGGCAGTAAATCATGTTTGTTTGAGGGCTATTGCATATAACATTTTCAATTTTAGTCTTATTTTGCACAGTCCATTATATATTCCTCACCGCTGTTTGTGAAGTTTTTTCTTTTAATTTATTTTACCTAGGAATATCGAAATCGGGTTTGCTCGGGTCTGGCAAAGTATCATGGCATAACAGAAGGGGTTGAAAGGAGGCCAAGGAGAAAGCCAAGTGTTGATGGACAGACAAGGAAGAGAAGCCCTTCCAAGAGGATAGTTGATTCAGATGATTCTTCAAAGCCTGAACCCAAGAGCCATATTCAACGTGTAATGTTGAAGAGGAGTAGCGTGGCCCCATATAAGGATCCTTTGGCGAGTTCAAAATTAGAGATGTTAAAGAACATCAGGGCGCAAAGAGCAGCTGCTGAGAGCAAGAAAACTGAAGCTGTTGCTAGGGCAAGGTAAGTTTTTTATAGTTCTCATATTTTTCTCTTCAAAGTAATTTTTTCTTTCCAAACTGTGGATTTTGTGATCAATGTGAGGAGTTGATAGATCCTCTTCTTTAGGGTTGGGAAAGTTGCCAATACAAGACAAAAAGATTTTCCCGGGACAAAAACATTCATTATCAGAAGAAGGATAATTGCTTTAATAGTGGACAAAGTGAGTGAAAAGAATTTCCACATTATTTCCTTGAGCAAGAAGACCTGATTTATCAACATCAGTGGTCTTATCTAGGGAAGTTGCCTCTGAGAAGAAGTTTTAGCATTCTCTGTGGGTGGTGAAGTAACACAAACCAGGAAGGGAGCGGTATGAGGCGGAACATATATGTGTATTTTGTATGTGCATGTACCTATGAAATTGATGAAAAGATATAGAAATATAGAAGTGGTTTCAGTGTTTGTAGAGGGAGGAGAGCTTAAGTTGTGTCAGCATGCATGAGCTCCTGCATTGCCAATTGACCTGATTAGTTCAGATTACTGGTTATTGGATATTGATGAACGTTCAGGGTTTTGGTAGATGATGAGAAGCTAGCAATAAACATTCTGAACATTAGCCGCAAATTGTGATTTGTAGAATCTTTTGATGTTGAACCAGATTTCCTATGTTGCAGATTGTTGATTGCTGAAGCTGAGAAAGCTGCCAAGGCTCTTGAAGTAGCTGCTGAGAAGAGCCCTGTAGCTCAGGCTTCCCTTGTCGAAACTAGGAAGCTAATCGCTGAAGCTATCCAATCTATTAGTTCCATAGATGAAGGACAGGAAGAATTGCAAAATGATGGTGGAAGTATATCACTGGCTGCACCTGAATTTGTTGGCCTGGCCAAGTTGGAAATGAGTGAAAATGTTGAAAATCCAAACCAAATTGTTAAAAGAAAAGTGAATGGAGCTCAAACATCAAGATCAAGTAATCGTGACCTTATTGGGTTCAAATTTGAGAATACTGCTTTGCAAGATTTAGGGGATGCATCGAGTGACATGATGGGGTTCAGTTTCGAGGAACCTGCATTGGGAGGATTAGTGAATGGTACAGCGGACGTGCAGAAGCTCCGCCAAACTAGACTTGAAGATTATAGTGTGGCTTCTGTGTTGTTGGATAGTGCCGGAAGGGTAAAGTCTTCCAGTTGCACAGACCGTATGGTCGATCCCGCATTGAGCGGCAGCCCACAGCGTGAGGATAACCCCCTATTGAATGGAGTAAAGTCCTCCGAATCTGGTAACGAAGAAAAATTATCTAAGTCAGCTAGTGTGACTAAGAAATGGGTTCGTGGAAGACTGGTTGAAGTGGCTGAAGAAAGTTAGCTTAGTTCAACGTACATGGTAGATTTGATTGATGCTGCAGATCTTCCCATCAGGCTGGAGGTATAGTGTAGATCACCTGGTAATCTGTGGTTACGTCGGATGGAATTTCTTACCACAGTATTGTTCGAAAATCTTTGTTCTAGCTATATATGATGATGACTATCTAGTATAATCATTTAATTTATACCACCAGGGATATGATTTATTGCCCATGTCCACCACTCTGAAGCATTGGGGGTTTATATGTCCTCCCTACCAGTATTTAAAAGTGATGAGAAAAGTATTCCGAGACATAACAAAATTCCTAGTAGCAGCTTAGAAGCAGCTAAGTACGGGAAAATGGAAGGATAAAAAGTAGATTACCAAATATAAAGTTGGGATATAGATTGATTTTTTTGAAATCCAATTTAGATTGGTTAAGCTGGTTTTTCGATTGTTTGGGAAGTATGAACACCCCTCTGTCTCTGGCAGCTGATGCACAGCGTTGCGTTTGGACCAGATCCTGTTTTGTTGAGGTTGAGGATAACTTTGTTAAAGTCAGATCAGGAGGAATTGCAAAGCTTTTAATGAAGGAAAGGAAATAGCTAGTCGCGTCCATCTGCATCTGCATTACAAAATTGAGAGCACGAAAGTTGAAAAGAATAAAGGAAGTAACGATATGTGTACAGAGACTGGATTGGTTTTGGTGAGAGTGATTTTTGGTTAATATTTTAGTTAAAGGGTTTTCAAGTGTCCTCTTTGGTTAGCATTAAAGCTTGATAGGACGAGAGACAAGGTTCAAACTGTACCTCTCACCAATTATCATATTAAAGTGATTTTGCTTAAAAAATCCAAATAAGTGCATAATGTACACGTTTGATCTGAAGGTGATTCAATCCCCTTCGAATTATCCTAAGCCTCCTTAGGTCTGGCCTCCTCCCTCTAGTGTAATATAGATTAGGTCATACAACAGTTATCATTTCTGAAAAAAAAAAGTATCCTCTTTGATTAGAATCAGAAAGCAGCTCTAAATTCTTATTCTTGACTCGGAGTGAATGGTTTCCTCGATCTCGTTTCCAGGTACATATTTTTTTTTTTGCATAACGATAACATAACCAATTAATGTTGATTCATTGAACTCATTTGTTGACTTGTACTGACTGGCGTTTATGTGTATCGTACTAGCATTCGGCTTCTAAGTCTGACATTTGGGCTGGCATTTTGGTACGTGATACTTGTGTTGGGTCTTGTTTCCACTCAATTCAAAGGAGAACTTTTTTTTTTTGCGTTTATGTGTATCGTACTAGCATTCGGCTTCTAAGTCTGACATTTGGGCTGGGATTTTGGTACGTGATACTTAGTGTTGGGTCTTGTTTCCACTCAATTCTTAGGAGAACTCTTTTTTTTTTTTTTTGAGGGAACGAGGTTGGGTCGGAGAAAATTGGGCTTTTGGGGGGCGGCGAGGAAATTGAGCTGGGTCCGGTAGCAGGTCGCTTTCTCGACAACCGACGGTGAGTGTACTTGACACTTCCTAGTTCCAACTAATTCCTTACAATTTACAAAATACTGCTTACAAATCAGAGTGAATTATCTGGTGTGGTGGCCTCGGCGTTAGATCTCATTCTCCTCCATCACTTCCACTCCCACTCCCGCTCCCGCTCCTCAGAATCATCTCACATTTTTGGTCTTCCATCAATTTACCGGAGCAGAGCAAAGAATTCTCAAGTACTTTTTTAAAAAAAGAAAGAAAAAACCAAAAGAATGATGGAGTCTCAGTCGTCGTCGTCAGACGAAGAAGACGATCGACAGCATCTAATCGAACAGAACGAAAGAAGAGGCCTCCCTCACTCCCCTTCCAAGTCCCCCCGCCACTCCTCCTCCGCCTTCCAAATTGACTTTCCCCGACTCCCCAACTCTCGCTCCACTTCTGTTGCAAGCTTCTTCAACAATAAAAGGTACCTCTTCGCCGTTTTCCTTCCTCTCCTCCTCCTCCTCCTCTACTTTACCACCGACATTAGGAACCTCTTCCATACCACCACCCCCATTTCCAACCTTCTTTATGATTCCTCCTCGCTTAATCGCATGCGCCAGTCCGAGCTCCATGCTCTTTACCTCCTCAAGCAGCAACAGCTTGGCCTTTTCCCTCTGGAATCGCACCACCCTCCTCCCACATAACCCTCTTAATTTTTCTGTAAATCCCACCAATGCTTCTTCTAACGTTGTCGATTCTTTACCTTCATCGTCTCCTGCTCGTTTAGAAGATTTGAAATCCGATCTGCTCCGCCATATTTCATTGAATAAGCAGATTCAACAAGTTTTGTTGTCGTCCCATCGTTTGGGAGATCCGCTAGATTCCTTGTCCAGTAATACCTCTACGGACCCCACCCTGGAGCAGGTTTTGACGGATGCAGGAAGGTGGAGCAGGGGCCATCGTCCCAGAGGAGAACAATCGATTGGAATCCCAAATCCAATAAGTACTTGTTTGCAATGTGCGTGTCGGGACAGATGTCCAACCATCTCGTTTGCTTGGAGAAGCATATGTTTTTCGCGGCTGCGCTCAACCGAGTTCTGGTTATTCCCAGCTCCAAAGTTGATTACGAGTTTCATAGGGTGTTGGATATTGATCACATCAATAAATGTTTGGGAAGGAAAGTCGTGGTTACTTTTGAGGAGTTTGCGGCGAGTAGAAAGAATCGTCCGCGTATTGATAAGTTCCTTTGTTATTTCTCGTCGCCCCAGCCCTGTTTTATGGACGATGAACGCGTCAAGAAGTTGAAGTCGTTGGGTGTTTCATTGCCTAAGCTTGAGTCTGCTTGGACTGATGACGTTAAGAATCCAAAGCAAAGGACGATTCAGGACGTTCTGTCCAAATTTTCTACTGACGATGATGTTATTGCGATTGGAGACGTGTTCTTTGCTGATGTGGAGAGGAGGGGTGACGCAGCCTGGAGGTCCTATTGCTCATAAATGTAAAACACTGATCGAACCAAGTCGTTTCATTTTGCTCACTGCCCAGCGTTTTGTCCAAACATTTCTTGGAAGGGATTTTATCGCCCTTCATTTCCGCCGACATGGTTTCTTGAAGTTCTGGTATGTTTTCCTTTTATCTTTTCGTTTCAGTATTGAGCAATGCATCCTCTAGGATCCCCCTTTTAAGTGTTGGGATATGTTTATGGTTGGATGTGCATGTTGCAGGATTTCAGTCGAACTATTTGTCTGGGAGTCTGTGCCCCTTAGCCGTCTTAGTCTGTTGGCAAGTTTAAGTTATTTGGGTGAAATAGAACTAGAAGGAGCTTTCTTTTGGTTTCTGGAATGATTAAGGGGCTACATCAGTTGTCTTGGCTATAATGGCAGCATTTAAGCATCATGAGAGTAAAATCATGCTTTTCAGTTACAAACTTTTGGGCTTTTTCTTCCGCCCTCCTTTCATTACCATACTGTAGTTTCTGGAGAATATTTTTTACCACAGTGGATTGTTGGACAGCACCATACCTCTTACCCTGCCTGCTATTTTATATCAGCAATGCCAAACAACCGAGTTGCTTCTACCCTGTTCCTCAAGCTGCTGATTGCATCAATCGAGTGGTTGAACGAGCTAACACTCCGGTGATATATCTTTCCACTGATGCCGCGGAAAGTGAAACAGGTTTGCTCCAGTCACTTCTTGTCCTCAATGGGAAGACTGTACCACTTGTGAAGAGGCCTGGACGGAGTTCAGCAGAGAAATGGGATGCTTTACTGTACAGACATGGGCTTGAGGCTGACTCTCAGGTGAGCTTATGATTTCTATATAATGTTCTTAGTTTTCAAATTTTATGTTACTCCTTGGATATCTCTACTGGCATTAGACGGGCATGCAATTGACCTTGTCAAGTTTACTCCTGATTAGCAACCAAGGAATGATCTGTAGTATGCAAATTCAATTTGTTTAGCCCGTTGCATTTGCTTGTGTTTTCTTTTCCGTTTGGTATTCATTCCGAATGTGGAAACTTAAGGAACATAATGTGACAATAATCCACCCTCAGTAGTTTTCTTGTGAGGTCGTTTGAGGATGCTGTTTATGGTGTTGTGGCCAATGCTTCTGATGTTGGGGTTCGTGATGATGATATAGAAGGAAGAATTCTGATCTTCATTGAAGTTATACTTTGCATGACAATTTGATAATATAACGTACCACTACTTTTTTTTTTTTTTTTGGTTGAAATTTACAAATGGGGTAATACCTAGACTATCTTATCTTACTGATGAATGCAATTTATTAGGAGGGAACCAATCAATTGAGATGTATATAAGAGCTAAGAAATGCAAAAAAAAAAAAAAAAAAAAAAAAAAAGATTTGAAGGAAGGGGGGAGGTCTGGTTGAATTAAATTAGCTGGACAGTGAACACGGTCGCTTGCAGTAGAATTCTCAACCACCATAAGATCGTAATGAACATATCATCTTCATAGTTACATATAGAGACTTCCATTCCAGGCATCGATCGTAATTTAATATTTGTTTGAGTTCTGAAACTAGACGTTCCTGGGATTGATTTTTTTTCCCCTCCTAAACTCAACATGGGCAGAGAGTATATTATGCATCTGTAGCTCTTTGTTTTGTTTTGGTACGTATGTAGTTACAGAGTGAGATTCAAATTACCAAACACCAAATACTTAATAAATTGTGGAGTTTTAGATAGATGAGGAGGTCAGTCCACATTTTTGGAAAATGAATTGCGAAGCAGTCGTGAGCGGAAAGAAAGCTGTTGCAAGCAGAAGAAGAAAAGGGAAACCGTGTTGCAAAGGGTTAGGGGCTGTGTGGTAGATGTGGAAGCAGAAGGGGGGCTGGAGAGGGGAGGCCTACTACTCACACCTTAGGCTTAGGATAGTCAGTTGCCCTATTACTGCTAAATACTACTGCTACCTGTCCTGTCCTGCTAACATCCGTAGCACTGCAGGAGGTGCCCGCCGCTTCGTCCAACATCGTACGTATATTTCCTCTTCGATTAACCCAAATTAGAATCGAGTCATTGTCCTACTTCCCACTCTGTATTTCCAAATATATCCATTTCTTTTCTTTTTTTTTTTTTTTTAAATTTGTTTTGCTACATCAGATATATTTCAGATTCCATGTCTGGAATTGCTCATCCGAGTAACATCTAGCAAAGATTTCTCATTTACTCTGCACGCCTAATTGTTAAGGATTAGAAGAAGAAGGAGGAGGACAACGTAAAAGAGGAAAACCCAATTTGTTTGACGATGAGAGCTAGAGTGGTGGTGTTCCCAATAAGAGGGAGGAACTGGGCTTTTAGCAGCAGATCTTCTTCTTCTTCACTCGACTCCCATTCATCCTCCTCCTCCTCATCATCTCATACCGCGCCGCCCTCCACATTCAAGGAGTTATGGAATACCATTTCCTCCCCTCGGCAGAAGCCGCCCTCTCAATCCAATGTCGAACTCCTCATTGATTTCTTCGCCAACAAGGTCCTCCCTCCTCCTCCTCACATGAGTCACATTTCCCCTTAACGTTTATATCTTTCCTGATTGTTCCGCTTACGTATGTACCAATGGACTTTTGAGATCATGTCTTTTATATGTATATTTTTTTAGTGGTATGTAAGTTTGGGTTTACTGCAAATTTATAGATGAATAGAGCTTGGGGTAAGCTGGAAGAAGCTCCCCGGGGGACTTTTAAGAGCAAGATTCACAGGTATCGCTACATTTTGTTTGTCTTACTTCTCAAGATTTTCTTCACTTTCACTACTATAGTCTTTAGGTCTTTTTCAGCTCTGGCTTTTCATTGCTTCTCCTGTTGGAATTTGATGCCACTATTCCTCTTTTTTTTTTTTTAATGGGTTTTAGGTTGGGTGTGAAGCTTTTGTCTCGGGTTAAGCCATCAGAAATTTTCTTGAAATCCATACCTAAGGAGGCTACCCATGTTGAGATCACCTATCCCTCCAGGTTAGCCTGCTTTTACCTCCCAGTAAGAATTGCCTGCTTTCAAGGGAAAGAGTACCCTCTCGTCCTTTGTTTTTATCTATTTCTCTTGGGGTGTGTCTGTGTGTGTGTATGGTTATGGTGCACAGAAGATGTAGAACTGTGATGGACAAGAACTCAAGAGCTATGATTTCATGAATGCAACCTGGAATATTTCAAATATTAACGACCAAGGACTTCATTAGATGGTCCTGTATGGTGACTCATTTTTGCTTTTTCTGCCTGGGTTTTGGCATGTGAAACATATCTCTTGTAACTTATGCACAGCTAGAGACTTTAAAAAAAAAACAAAAAAAAACTTGAATACAATAATAGATACTGATGTTAAACATACTCTGTTGTCTAAAATTTTGAAAATTTCAGCTTTCATCCTTTTTAACTTTCTTTTGTGTATCTGAGAAGCAGTTAAGAGGGAGTAAAGGGTCAAATAGCTAATCATCAGTTAAGTGCAGAGAGTATGGAGGGAGGGTGGGTGGTTATCTGCACATTACTTATCCATAAATTTTTGGAGATGGTTCTTGTCTTTGCATTCTAATTTTCTTGATGCAATAGGGGGAGTTGACCTAACCAAGCTTCAATCAAAGCTCGAAGTTCTACTTTTGCTTCATATAATATGCATTTAAATTTCCTTTGAGTTTGCATTCTAATTTTCTTGATGTAATAAAGGGAGTTGACCTAACCAAGCTTCAATCAAAGCTCGAAGTTCTACTTTTGCTTCATATAATATGCTTTTAAATTTTCTTTGAGTAGAAGAATATTGTAGGATGCAATTAGTCATTTGTATGCAATTATGTACATGTATATCTGAACTTCTTCTGGATTCTTTCTGATAATCTCTTGCCAATATTACAGTTTGAATGCACGACTTGTCCGCAGAAGGATACGGCATATTGCCATAAGGTAAATTCTGCTTACCATGGGTCAGATTGTTGTTAATGTTATCATTTTTGCTAACATCAGATGCTTCTAAAGGCTCCAGATTTGTTTGAAAATTGCTGTCATGTTGGAAAATCTACCTTGACCCAATACACCCACTAATATGGACTCCTAATTCTGGAACATATCCAGTTTACACTTCGCTTCAATTGTCACAGTCCTGCTTATTTCCTTACATCAATATGGTGTGGTTATGGCAGATGACCATATGATGTACATTTGAACAAGAATGTCCAGATAAATGATTGCGAATATCTCTTTTATGTCTTAGACATCTTAAACTGAACAAATATATATGGTCTTGGAGCAGACTGCCTAGCAACAATATTAGGATAAGTGCATCTAAGTTTCCTTTGCATTTGGACATATATTTAGATAGGAGAACTTAGTTTTGGATAGGTTCTGTTTGTGAAGGCTATATGTCTCATTAGACTTTGGTATGTCCACTAGGGGTGATAAATGGAGAAGTAGGACGAAGAAGAGGTGGGGATAGCGAAATCCTTTTCATGGTCATGTATTAAGTGTGCAAGATACTTCTGAATGCCACTTTTTTGTCCAAATTTTCGAAATGGTATAGAATGTAACAGGATAAAATTGAAAAGTCAGTGTTCTCTCCTTATCCTTAATTTTATTCACCGCCTGAGGCTTTTTTTTATTATTTTTATTTTTGATACTCTATGCCAACCAGACTGGTAAGTTAGACACCCCTCCTTTAGCGAAGAATTGTTTCCTTCTCTTCATCGGCCACTCTTATCGTTTTCCTGAATCGATCATGCCTGTTTGGAGCTTATTAGTGGTTGTCCTACTAATTGCTGGTGTAAATCATGCCCTTTACTACAGAGTTTTGATGCATGTATAATCTAGCAGATGCAGGGTTTTTCTTATTATTGTTGGCCAGTTTCATTTAATCCATTCATCAAATTAACTTATGACCTTACTGCATGAGTATTAGGGGAGCTGTTCTTCACAAGAAGTACTTCTATGGATCAGTTACATTGCTTCCCGCTACAGCAATATTAGCAGTATGTACTAGCTTTTGCCTACAATATTGAGCGCATTTGGTTCTTTTGAACATGTTGCAGTTTTTGATACATCATTTTCTTCTCTGCTGAAGTTGTTTGTTGCTTTTTTACTGGGTTATAATCTTTTGAAATTTATGTAGGTCCTACCGTTGCCTAACATTCCGTTCTTTTGGTTCTTGTTCCGATCTTATTCTCACTGGAGAGCTCTCAAGGTGAGATAGTTTTTGGAGTTCATTTTCCTGTTGCATGTGAGTTGTTGGATCACACGTGTAGGCTAGCATGAAGTTGTTAGGTCCACTCAACAGCATCTGCTGCAGATTATTTTTCCAGGAGTTTGAGAAAAGGAAAATGATTCTCCTGAAGAAATGAGATTGGGATTACTCTTGTACATAACAGTGGTAATTTCAAACAGTTCACAGTATATCATTACGTGCCTTGATGTACTTTGAGTTGCCAGCTCTGCCCACATGGATGAAGAAACATGCATCCTTTTGTTGCCATAGCAACAATGTCTTAATGTTCTTCTGCAGCCATTAGTTTGACAAACGTGATAATCATATGTAAGCTGCATCCACTGTATCCCTATTAATCCCTGGCATAGGTATATCCTTGGGAGTTAAAAATAGCTAATCTCAACCAAATCCTTTGAGGAGGCTCAGCGTTCAACTTATAGTCTACGGGCCTATCTGTCTTCTGCCGTACATTTATATTTATGTATTTTGCAAGTTCCTCTTCCCATTTAACATGTTTTTTTGCAAAATGTTTCATTTAAAGTTGTATATATATATCAATTGATGTAACTGTTTATGCTTATGCTTTCAGGGAAGTGAGAAACTTCTGCAGCTAGTGTCAGATGGTTCCACTAATCAAGATTCTTCGATTGAGAAGGAGAACAAAGGACTGCAGGACTCTGAAAAAGGAAAATTTGATTCTCTTGGTTCTCCTTGGGTAGGATTTCAAACTGATTTCTTCTTAGACATTGACTCAAAATGGTTGCGGCATGGTACTAGTTAATATTTGTCGTGATCTTCTGATTACTTTTTGGACCATTCTAGTATTGTGCTCTTTTGGGATAAATTTGGTATGTTTGGTTCTGATTATATATGTATAGCTCTAAAGATTATCTGAGTTAGATGTTTTTGCCAGCATTCAGTTTCAAGAAATGAGAAAAAATTGGGTCCTCATTTGTTGTTTTCGTTTTTTCTTTCCTTTTTTTTTTTTGGTGGAAAGATGGAATTTCACATCCCTGCCGCCTACTGACTCGAGCATCTTGTTATATACATCACTATTAGGTATTGCAACCTTCTGATGAGCTTCACAAGCTTCTTCAAGGCAAAGATGCAGAAAGTGCCAACGAGTCTACTGTATCAGAAATATGCCAGAGATTTTCATTAAACACAAATGATGTTTTGAAGTACAGGAATTCATTGTAGTTCAAGTTTTGCATCCTTTCTTTTAGTGTTAGTTACATATCAGTTCAAAAAGCAAATTATAGATTCACTGCCGTTAATTTTGCCAAGCTGAATTGATTTTTCAAAATAGAAAATGGGTCAAATTTTCTCAGCTTGCTTATCACTAAAACGTCTGGAAGCACTGAATTGCTGGATGCTGAGAACTGGACAGGCATATGCTACTATATATATATATATATATATATATATATATATATATATACGGTTCCGTTTGCTAAAAGCTTTTTTTTTTTGGTTTGTTTGAATGATATGGTATTGTCTAATTTTAGGCTTTGATAGTGAGTGAAAAAGGAGATGCTGCAGCAGCAGCAGCAGCAGCAGGCCGGGCGGCTGGCTGCGAATTTTGGTGCTAAGGTTTCATATGATGTTCTTCTTTCAGTAAGCAGTAGCTAGTAACTTTTTTTCATGTGCTTGGTTGAATCATGAATGTGTACTCTTTTCGGTTCCAAGAAGGCTACGTATACATTAAAATAAAGTTGTAATATATATAATGATTCTCTGGCATACAACAATTGCCTTCAAGGGATTTTAGTTACTATATGATTTCTCTCATGTGGGACAGCGTCTTTTACCTCTGCTCCCCTCCTTTATACGCTATACAAATTCTCAACATCTAACTCAATGTATGATTACGTGTACCCAAACTCAATTGGTAAAGATACTAACTAGTAGTTGGTGATTACGACACTATGATGTTCTCCTTTCTCCATCTCTTGTCAAGTTTGAAGTCTTGCTTTGAAAAAAATAAAAAAATAAAAAGAAAAAAATGCAGCCAAAAATTTTTTTTTTTTTACATTAAAATGTGATGTCATTTTTACCCCCATTTAATTTCACAGCAATGAGCCAATTGTAACTTCGTAAAACTCGACTATTTACCATGGTCCCTTTGGGGACTTCTGAGTTCTGATCATTATATATGTATATAAATTTTTTTTTTTAAGAAAATACCATGGTCCCTGTGTTTTTACCGTGGAATGCCATATTCATGACAGCAGTGGCCTTAAAACAATTGGGCTGCTGGCCCAGGTCTTCTAACTTGCATCCAATTTGAGCCCATACATTGTTAGTTCACTAATCCAAACACACAAATGTAATGAGGTGAGGCCCACGCTGAGATGCCACTCCATCCTGTCTACTTAAATTCACCAGCTGAAGGCTGATTTGAGGAGCGCATAGAAAGTCACCCGGGTTTGGATTGTTGCACAAGAAAATATTGCAGGAGCAATCGAATATTTGTGCGCTAAAGAAATATATATAGATATATAATAATAATAAAAAGCAGAAGAAAGAAGAAAGAATCGATCGGAATGGCACCGGCAGCGTCGCAGGACATTGAAGATGAGATCAAGGACGAGAAGAACCCTAGACCTCTCGACGAAGACGATATCGCTCTTCTCAAAACTTATGTATGCTCCCCCCCCCCTCTCTCTCCAAACCCTAAATCTTCAGTCCATTCGTTATTTTTACTTTATTCTGGATCTATTTTCTTTGGATTTCAGTCCGTAATTTTGAGTATCTTTGGGTTCTGATGTGCTGTCTACCTCTCCGCTCGTATACAGATCGCAATGAGTAATTAATTCGGAATTTTGGGAAAAGGATATTTATATCCAGCTAAAGACTGTAACTTCTGACTTGGGTTTTTGTTCTTCTCTCAATTTTAGGATATGGAATTTATGCTAACTAAAATGTTTCCGTCCTTTTCGTCCCTGTTGATTTGCAGAGTTTTAACCGAATGGAAGCTTTATAAAACTCAACTTTGACCTTGGTTGCGCCCTTTATTGTTTGTGGACTCACTGATTTAGAGTTCAATTCTTCTCAGCTCAGTCGTTTGGTTTCAGTTTTAGTTGAGAAAAAATGGAGAAAAGAATGTTCTCGAGACTATAACTGGTAGCTTCTCTGTAGGAAATGTGTCCAACCTGCTCCTGGTACATAATCAGCTGGAAACAACGCCATCAACTTATCATTTTTAAGGAACCAGCCACTTGCAAGACTACCTGCTTTGCACTCAAATTGGGCAAATAATCAGATTCAGACGTTACTAGTAAAGAAACCTGCATATTTCGTATTTTGTATTCCTTGCTTTACCTGGAATACGAACTCATTGGCCTGTTGTTCTTAAGCCCAAGTTTATTTCTTAGAGATGATTTGATTACTACGAAGTTCCGGATTCACATTTTCCTGTGGAGTTAAGATGGGATGCGGAGAGGATAAGAGCCTCTTTTTTTTTATTTTCAATTGACATTTTGAATTTTTGCCTGCAGGGATTGGGACCTTATTCTACAAGCATAAAGAAAGCTGAGAAGGAAATCAAGGAAAAGGCGAAAGTAATCAATGATTTGTGTGGTATGATTGCTGTCTCCATTTTTTCTTGCAAGTTAGCTGCTTGTGCACAGAAAATATGCTTTTGAGCATTTAAATTAGTGGATCTCTATGTGTTTTTCTGAAAGAGTAGGTTTTTATTTATTTATTTTCCATATAGTAATCTTTTCCAAGTTTTTACCTTTAAGTTTTGTTAGCGTTTATACCTTAAAGCTTTTTTTTTGGGGCCGGGGGGGGGGAGGGGGAGGGGGAAGAGATAGGAGTGGTATTGTACCTAAGTATTGCCATTAAGTAATGGTGATTTATTCGCTTGCTAATACCTGTTTATAGGAATTGGTAATGCTATTAGAACTTTACTGAGCACAGTTGTTAAGATAATAGCACAAACAGAAAATGACCAGTTTATGAACTCGAAAGTTACTAATTGTATTTTAGTTTCTGAAAAATGATGTCATGGATGAAGGATTCCCCATTTCTTGTTTTTGTGAAAAAAGGAAGTGGTCAGTACAAGTTCTGAACTATACTGCTGATCTTCAATTTTCATTAGGTATCAAGGAATCTGATACTGGATTAGCTGCACCTAGCCAGTGGGATCTGGTTTCTGATAAGCAAATGATGCAGGAGGAGCAACCTCTTCAGGTGTGGTTTTGGGAAGTCACTAGAACGTGGTTTTTCTTTTTCCTTTCTTATTTCTAATGCACAAATTGTGCATGTGAGCAGGTGGCGAGATGTACCAAGATAATTAACCCGAATACTGAAGATGCAAAGTATGTTATAAACGTCAAGCAAATTGCAAAGGTATACCATCCATTTTGTCAAGTTCTGTAATCTTATGGGATTTTGATCTTTGCTTCTTCTACTCTAGTCTATCTTTTGAAAGGATTAAGCTTCTCATAGCAATCAACTATGCAATCGAATTATGCTTCAGAAACTGATTGCATGCACAAAAGAATTAAGCATGAATCGTGTAGTGTATTTATTCTTAAAGAGGAGACATAATTACTCGTGTTTCAGTTTTTGCATGATGGTTTTTTTTTTTGGGGTTTTTGGGTCTAAATTTGTTCATTTATGTCTGCAGTTTGTCGTTGGATTAGGTGACAAGGTTTCTCCAACAGACATAGAAGAAGGCATGCGAGTCGGGTAGGCCTTCTCTCTTTGGATCAATAACTTTCTGAGCTGATGTTTATTCAGCTGGATGCTATTTTTATAGCATGAGAAAAACTTGAACCCCATATTCTATGTTATCCAGATTACTGTGATTTTGTGTTATGAACTAGTTTTTTGGTCTGGCAGTGTTGATCGGAATAAATACCAAATTCAGATTCCCTTGCCTCCAAAAATTGACCCAAGCGTTACCATGATGACGGTTGAGGAAAAGCCAGATGTTACATATAATGATGTTGGTGGATGTAAGGAACAGATTGAAAAAATGCGAGAGGTAATGATGATATATTCATATATTCATTTCACAATATTTCCCTTGCATTGACATTTTTATTGTTCAAATGTTTGCATTGCCTTCATTTGTCCCTTCTTAGCTCCTTTAATCAATGATCAATGATCTAGAGCTTGGCCCATGTCTATGATATTCCAATTGTTCTTTGAGATTATGCTTGTATGCATCTGTACTAACTGAATTTTTTTCATTCTGTTTTAGGTTGTTGAGCTGCCGATGCTTCACCCTGAGAAATTTGTTAAACTTGGGATTGACCCTCCCAAGGGTGTCCTCTGCTATGGTCCCCCTGGCACTGGTAAAACACTTTTAGCTAGGGCCGTAGCTAATCGAACTGATGCATGTTTTATTCGTGTTATTGGAAGTGAACTTGTCCAGAAATATGTTGGTGAGGGAGCTCGGATGGTTCGTGAACTATTTCAGGTATTTGAAACTTATGTCCTGTTGAATTGTTAGCTTTCTTTTCCCATGCATTAACCTCCATCTCTGACTAACGTATTTGGTCTTGCAGATGGCACGCTCTAAAAAAGCTTGCATTGTCTTTTTCGATGAAGTAGATGCTATTGGGGGTGCAAGGTTTGATGATGGCGTTGGTGGGGATAATGAGGTTCAGCGTACTATGCTTGAAATTGTGAATCAACTTGATGGATTTGATGCTCGTGGAAACATTAAGGTTCTGATGGCAACTAACAGGTTAAGACATTCTGTCTCTACTAGCTGAGACGTTTTGCATGCATTAGCTGTATGGCTGTGTAACTGATCTAAAAAAATTTTGTTGGTCATGCACCGTATCAAATGCTTGTATTTGTGTTCTGTTTCAATTCCTTTTGAGCTGCCTTGCTGTTTCCACTTCAACCCCCTGCCCCCCTTCTTTGTTCTTTCTCTTAGAGCATGAGGTTTAGTTAATTTGTGGTCCTGTGTACTTGATGGAAATTACTCAGGGTTTTCATATCTGTGGTTGACTAGTAAACTTTACACTTTTTAATGGACAGACCCGATACATTGGATCCAGCATTGCTGCGACCTGGACGGTTAGATCGCAAAGTTGAGTTTGGTTTGCCAGATTTGGAGAGTAGGACACAGATATTCAAGATACATACGCGCACTATGAATTGTGAAAGGGATATCCGGTTTGAACTTCTGGCTCGCCTCTGCCCGAATTCTACTGGTAAAATTTATTACGTGTCTTTATTAGTTCTCTATAATGGGCAACTATTTAATTGAGTGGGATTGTTTGATTGTTGGCAGTATGATGTCTGTCTGTCTGTCTGTGTCTCGAGCAGAGAGAATATGGTAATTGTTGTATTGGGAATAACATA